CCAGCCTTTTGGTCAATATCATGTTTTTCAGTAAAAATTGGATAACATTTTTGAAACTTTTTCAGAGAATATAGGACAATAAAACCCGGTTTAAACCGAGGGAAGAATCATGGGATATAAGTGTATATTTCGTATATTTCCGTCTTCAGTTAAACGAGAAACATATGTTCTCGATTCACTGTTTACCGTTGATAAGGCTTATTCAGGACGAACGTTTTTGATATCACAGAGTTAGCAGGAACGTACTCGGGAATCATTTAGCAGATTAAAATAGTTACCATGGATTGCGGATCGGAGTCCTGTTGCGGTTTTATTTATTCGTTTTTGCTTAATCTCTGCTCTGGATTTCAAGACATGGGAATGAAATTTCGTGCCAAATACTCCGCTAGAATACCAAATCTAAAACTTAGCACGAACTTGGTCGTGCCTACTTCATTCTTGAATACAAATATAGTTTGCTTATCTACTTATTGCACCAAATGTTTGGGCCACTGAAGAATTTATTTAATAACGCTAGACGATGTGATGGCTCGCTTTACGTCGAGTAAATACTTACGCAACAGAAAAGCAGGCACTTTCAAATATTCCATATACGGTAGTGCTGGGCAAAACCACCGGAATAGTGTAGCGGAAAAGCATAGTTCTAACGTTCCTCTGCATCTTTTTAAATTCACACATCCAGAACTTCACTCAAAACTTTTCAAAATTTATTCACTAAGTTGTTTCAGTAAGCAGGACATGCTGTAAATAACACGTTGCACACCACAGCCACGTAACAATTTCAGTTATGAAATCAATGCGGGGAAAAACACCTCATGATATGCACCATCCTTCATTAGTGGTCATGGTAGTTTTTCGGCGAAGAAACCAGCGTTTAACGAATGCGCAAGGGTTACCAATATTACGCAACACTGTGAAAACACGGTTTTGCCGAAGCTCACTTTAAACTATCTTCCACATTTGTTAGTGCAGATAAAATTTGGAAACAAAGTTGTTTTCCTTATAGAAACTCTTCAGCACTGCACATCTGACTTTGTCAGAAAAGCTCAGAACTTCCGGAATCAGAGACAATTGTTGTTGCCAAAGCATAGTGGAAAAGTAGTAATTTTGGTGTTTAAGTGTGCAGACATCTTACCTCCTCATTTACTTGATTATTTGTGTCCCACGTCAAGAACGATGGCCGAGATAGCTAGGCTGGTTTGTTTGGCTGACTAACCCGTCGTGATTTCCCAGATAGTAAGTACCCACGATCACTGTGATCAGCTGATTGTAAACAAAACCAACTGATTTACATCTAAAAAAGCATAGGTTTTCGTCCTACCAAATACTGAATTTGCTGGTCACCACTAAGTATTCTTGGCCTCTGGTTAAAAATGATCCGGGCAACATTTGTCTTGTGCCAAATAAAGGGTTTGATAAATCTATTTCTAAGGTTTAATCCAGGATGTTGGTCATTCAAGTATTTGTCTTGATTTCTGGGGGAGTAAATAGTCCGCTATACACTTGTGCTTATTTTGGCACCCATCCAGATACGGACGTCGTTTTCATATGACACGTACCAAAAAGTCACACTTCATCCTTTGCTTCAACAAAACCAAATCTGCTCTGGCCAGACGTCGGACCTCCTCCGTAATTGTTTGCTGATAACGACTAACATGCATAATTTGGGATCATATTAGGGTGGATCCGTAAGCAGTGGCCAGATTAAATCCAGAACACATGCATTATGGAAGTAAAATTCATGGCATATTTCGCCTACACCACAAAGAGCGTGATATTGTGAAATATTTATGAACACAAGTCGAAACTGAACGCAAATTCAATGGAAAGTCGGTTGATGAAAATCTGCTGTGAGTCAAGTTAATCCTACGTTGGATAAATCTATTTAGCCAATCAAGTTCAACCTTAATGTAATAAACTCGGCAAAATGAAAAACGAACGAAACATTCTGATGAAGGTCTATGCCGTGAAGCTACGAGCGTCTAGTTCAGTTGTAGCTGCTAACCCTGCGCTGACTATAACCGCGTCTTTTCTTAATTTTCCGCAGTCTTAATTTTGATCAAGCTAACACTCTGGTCCACCGTATTTCTTCACTGATATTTCTCTCAAAATCCATCAAACGAATGCATGTAGAATGCAGTTTTCACTGATGACAAAGGCTTTACTGTGGACTAATTAGATAGTATGCTTAGTGGCCTTTGGTATGTTTGCTGTGCTGAGCGGTTTGGTTACATCACCGGTCGGGTGAGATAATCAGAGCATTTTGAGTGGAAATTTCAAGCTTTCAGAAATCGAATTAGTGGGAGCTTATTTGAACTGTAATATTTCTTGCTAAAGGGCAGTTTTATTCTCTACAACATTCACTAACTACCATTCCTACGCGACGTACGTGACAGCGCCAGATAAAATTGCATTGTTACAATATCGCAATTCATACAAACAAAACAACCAATTGGAGTAATAATGGTCTTCTGAAGAAATAAGCGGACGTTTGGTCGTTAAGCAACATCCGGTAAGTGTTAACCAAAGATTAAGGATGGACATTTCTGTGACTATTTGATAATTCTCAATAATGACAAATTAACTAGCTTGGCGGTGCCTATGGGACCTGATATATTTGGTTGATTTATACTGTTTTCTCAAAGCATCTAAACTTCACTCTGGCCGTTTAAAAAACGCACTCTGCGCTCACTGAAATTATTTGGGAAAATATTCTTAGAAAATTATATGCCAAGACTACCCCACAGTGTTGTAGAGCTGAAAGAAATTAAATTTAAAGATAGTTGCTCACACCATGGAGGACTTTGGAAAACTCATGTAAGAAATTTATTTTTTTGTTACGTAGATCCTAAAACAGTGTTTTATTAAAGGAAAATCACCTCCATTCATCAAATTTCAGTGTCATTATATGTTCACCAGAGAAGCTATCAGATTTAAAAACGGTTTAACGTTTTTTCCATTCAAATGAGATGTTCCTGCGATTTAGCACTTTCTTCTCACATTTTAGTAACATGCAAGTTTTTTTCTAGGCTATTTGGATACCAAAGTAATAAACTCTTGTGCAGTTGAACACCAAAACCACTCACTGGAAAACTTTCTCACTACTTGTTAACTGCAATGAATGTTGAAATACTTGCGTACATAATAAGCAAGGAAACAGTTTTTAAGCGTGTGTATACCTAACGGACGTTACCAGAGCACAGTAGTTTTCCCACGAAAACTAATATTCGCAGGTCTGTTTTTCATATAGTGTATGATATGATAGTATATGATGTAAAAGTTTGCGACTGAATTATAAAACATGCATTCACGTATTCATTTTAATCCGTCCGAGTATTGGCTTCGGTGAAGAACTGATGTTAGGCTGGGTTGACGTACTTCCGTCGGGTTGCCAGGGTGAAGGGTTTTGTTTGTCTGCTTGCACAATATGGCAGATGTTCCTCCACTTAGTAGGCCAGTTGTGCTCATGGGCACAGAGGCTCGAGAAATAACTACTTTTGTGGTTTTTTCAAAACAACATGCGACGTTTTTGGCGAATCGAAATACATTTCTAGAAGCTCGCATGAAGCTATATATTACTAAAATGTCCGGACAGAACGGTTGGCCACTACTAGATGAACCCTTTCCAAAAATATACTTGTCAAATGTTCGACGTAATTTATTCGGACAGAGAGAGACCTGCAACCTGAATTATGATGTTTTCCTTTGTCAGACCCAGCTTTCAGAAATCCCATGTGCGAAAGTAGACATGTAGGTTGTCAACTGTCCCACTCTTCAACAGACTGAAATTTAACCAGCGAATCACGTTCTGATTCCAATACAACCCCGGTTAGTATATGAACAAAACGCATGGCCAAAATGCCTCAACCTTGTCTGGATGATGAGTGCTATCAGGGGGGTACCTACTGAAGGGGACTTTTCGAAGTCCTACATATGTGACAAGGTAGAGCTTCCAAATCTGACAAGTGTTTTGTTTTTGAAACTTCTCAAGCAATTCCCTACCCCCTGGGTTAGTACTCTCGACTGCTAAATTTGAGCATGACAGTCAGTTTACAACAATTATTTTCTCAACGGGTAAACGGTTTCTGGCTGAAAACTCACATACGCAAAGGTTGCCAATTTGGGTTGTGGGCCACCCCTAATGTTAAAATGGTTTTCACAATAACAGCACGAAAAAATGAAGCATATTCCTAATAAGTTTGTTAGAACAAGTTGAGAACGCTTTGCTCTTGTGATACACAAAGCTTGAGACATTTCTATGACTATATATAATGGCTTTTGTGGTTCATATCGAGCATTATTTAATGTTTACCGGAACATTATTGCGTGACACAATTTAAAGTAGGGAAGAAAAAGGAGGGCAATGTTCTTTGATCGAAAAATCCCTCCGACATAGCACCTTTAATAAGTAACATATAGATGAAAATATGTTATGTTACATTCAGACTAACAAAACACTCAGAAATTATCGGCTGTTTACTGGTAAATTATCATGGCTGGATCACCTAAAGTTATTAATGAGTCAGATTCATTGATCTCGCATATACAAACCCTCCAAAAGAAATCATCTTTCCAGAAGAAGGATAGTAGCACTTTGCGTCTAGCCGAGTCCTACGTTATTTCAAACCGGGAGACTACAGACAGCTATACCCCATTCTACCTCCAAGGTTGCCACTTCTGGGAATTACAGTATTTATCAAATACGTACATGCATTTTGTCGAACGATCGCATTTATTGACGGTGGCAGCAGAACGTCGTAATAGTTTACTAACTGCAGCGGCCACTCAGGACAGCACCTCAGTTAAGAGGCATTATGACGACGAATTCAAGCAAGAAAACTACATTGCACCACGGATTTCAATCTTCAAAATATAATTACCCACCTACGATGTCTTATTACCCGAACGAAAAGACACAGAAACATTTGGTCTTCAAGAAGTTTACTTGAATAATAGATTTACAGGTATCGAAGCGATTCATGGTCAACATCCCGGGCTTTTCAGATGTTTGCTTCAAGTAACTCAACTCGATCTCTACTCGCTATGACGTTTTCCGATTTCAAGTTCCTGTCAGCATAGGCCCAGGGTTGCTCCTCGCCTGAGGCGAACAACAAATAGAAGACCACTGCACAAAATTGGCTCAATGCAGCCAAGCCAAGAGCCACCCTCCAGCCATTGTGAATCTCCAATCCAAATTTATGGACGACCACCGTTGCTATCAGAGTAGACAGGATACCTGAAAAAATATGGACAGATAATGGTGGGCTTGAAGCAACTGGTTTGAAACTCCATTCTTGCACTAAAATTCTGTCAAACAATAAGAATGGGAAATATGGTTAGCGTTTTTAGTGCGAAACGGCAGTTGATGGTAGCAAACCAACACATTTCAGTGAGTTTGCCATCCGAAAAAAATCTCTAGGGCGAGAAGCTGAGACAAATGTTTTAATATAATTTTATTGCCGTCCTGAAGGAGCTGATACTCTATCTGGGAGGTAATCAACTAAATTAAACTTTATGATAATATTTACTCGCCCAGCTCATGTTTGAAGAAAATCAACATTCTCTTAGTTGCCAACACAAGCTTTATTTTTTAAGTTAACTCGGGTGATGTAATTCCATATTCACCGAACTCTGGACTTCGAAGGGTAAAATACATTAAACATTCACGCGTTTGGAATTTTAAACATCACGTAGGTGTTGTATTTACGAGGCTATTCGAGCAGGGGAACTGAGACGTCTTCAGGTGTTCGACATCGTTGTCTACTTTATGATAATATTTACTCGCCCAGCTCATGTTTGAAGAAAATCAACATTCTCTTAGTTGCCAACACAAGCTTTATTTTTTAAGTTAACTCGGGTGATGTAATTCCATATTCACCGAACTCTGGACTTCGAAGGGTAAAATACATTAAACATTCACGCGTTTGGAATTTTAAACATCACGTAGGTGTTGTATTTACGAGGCTATTCGAGCAGGGGAACTGAGACGTCTTCAGGTGTTCGACAATCGTTGTCTCAGAACCGTAGCTCGTGTGGTTTGGTGTCGGCTAATCCGTAGTGCGGCAGTTAGAGAGTGCTTTTTCGGTTGTGCAACGGGTATTCCCATTAAAGATTGTGTTCAGCACAAGAAGCTGCGTTGGTTGGGGCATGTGTTGCGTATGCCGAACCATCGATTGCCGAAGGGAGTACTGTTTTCCATGCCCAATTCAGAGTGGCGTAAACAGAGAGGTCGTCAACCCCCGACTTTTCAGAGTATGAACGAGATCACGAAACGCTTAGGTTCTGTCGATGCTACTCGCCTTCCAGGATGGGGACCACGCGATCCTTACAGTGCTTGGTTGAAGACACTACGATATATGGCTTCCAACCGATTTCAGTGGCGTTCTTGTTGTCAGTTTCTATCCAGATCATCTGAGTGAATGTCTGGTGGTACAGGCACCTCGGAATAATTGTGGTGGGCTAGCACTAAGTGCCTTCCCCGTCCACCTTTACTCTTTTCTTTACAATAAGGTTTTCAAAATAATCATGGTTGTACGGTAGTGAAGCATCGGTGTTGAACACTGATGTCAGTCTGTTGATGACGATGATGATGTATTTACGAAATTTTTCCATAAATTCCACAAAAAACTGAATTATTTTATTAAACATACATCCTTGAACATGTTTTGCGATTGCCACAATGTAAACATCTGAGTCACTGCTTCCGACTGAGAGAGACAGTGACACAGAGTATAAAGTGTGGGTGAGTGTTTGGTGTACATACGTTTGAACATCCACCAACAGCGGACAATTTTTACCTCCTAATTTTAGCTCATCGCTGTTGAGCATGATATTGGCCATAACATTGGCATTTTCTTGGTTCCGCAAAAGCATTCTTGCTTTTTTTCTTTCCTTCCTGTCAGGTTGACTTGCGTCAGCTCAAAAATCTCTTCAAACTGTAATGAAGTGCTCCTCACCGGTAGTTGTTTAGTCAAAATTTAAAAGACAGAGAGGCTGAAGAGGATTTCTCAACACAGTGACCATGGCGACTAAATGTTTAATATTCCGGAAAACTTAAAATACCATTCTATTCAAACAAGCTGAAGCTATCTCAAAGTTGCGCACTATTACGTCTGGCACATGGAGAGGAATTGATACAAATTATGTATATTCTAAATGAATCTACTTCTATATCTCCCAAGACATGCTGAAAGTTTGATGTAAAGATGAATGGGAAAACCTGGTGGCCACAAGCAGTACTACTGTTTTAATCTCACGGAACAACCACATAGACATAACCATCACTATATTTTCAATAGAATTAATGTGACTATTCTATCAGTTGCATAGCATAATGAAAGTGCGGCAGCTAACGCAAGTACCGCATGCTTTTGTTTTAGCTTTGAGGGTCGACTTAACGTAAGGGTTCTTTTAAACAGGGACAGACAATATTAGCCAGTACCAGAGAGGAAGATAGGATAGAACAGCATTCTGTTGACTTGTTTTATGTGGTTTACTTTATATGACAAACAGTGCAACAGGACCGATGTCACAACACAGTGGTCACTGTGGCATGACAGCACGTGGTTGTGCGCATTCGATGGTTGTGCAGTTAAGGTACCCAGTCTTTTGGAAGAGAGATTGAAAAGTCCTCAGACAAAGTGGCTGAACCACAGGCACCACGCTGGAAAGCAGATAAAACCAGAATCATCCAAATTTATTCAAAACCTACTGCAAAATGCGGCACTGCAAAAGTTGTGGCAAATGATCAATCACATCATGACAGGTTTCGAAATCTTCCTAGCTTACATAGTGAGATACTGAATGCACAATACGACGACAGTCCACAGTTTAACTCACCCGTAAATGTGCTGACGCTGTTTGCGAATCCCATGACTAACCCGGAGAAATTCGGTGCCAAATCGATAACATTTACTGCATAACCAGCAACCGCCAGACCGGAAAAACCTGCGGACCAAGCGACAAAACCCGTTAACACCTGTCGGGCGTAATGTGCGTATTAATGATATTCATAAAGCCACTAAGTAAATTGAACACCTGACCACATGTGACCGTGTTCATTTTGTTCACAAAAGACAGAATTACTGTTTATTTTCGAGGAGTAGGTCTAGTTTTCCTGTGTTGCCCGTTTGATAAGACCTCGATAAGACCTCCAATTCACCCGAAGCATTGACCAATGTGTGTATTGAAAAAAAACAAGGCTTGTATTTAAATTTGAAACAGTATAAAACTAGGGCAGAACGGAAAACATTGACGCACGTCCTTGGTTGACCTCCTCAGGGGAATAAAACATTTCAGTGGAATAGCTTGTGATAGAAATTCACATCAAATCTGCGATAGACTAGATGGATACTGGATAGGTGGATACAAAGAAAAAATAAACCCATGATGCTAAATTATGTGTTATGCGATAATTTGGGTGTAATAGAAAATCTCAGGAGATGCGCTGACAAAAATCTCGTTTTACGAACTAATCATCAGCAGCCGTGTCTAAAAGCCTTACGCTCTTTGTAGTCTCAGCAACAAAATAGCCATTGTTTAAAATTGCTTAATGAATAATTTTCATGTTTATCTAAACTTTCAGAAATAAATGGTTAAACTAAAGCCAGAATACTAGCTTGATAGGCTAATGTCTATCTACAAAAAGTGCCGAACGTGCCTGCATACTGCACCAGATCAAATTCCATTATCCCTCCATCAAGGCAGACTAGAATAGCTTTTACATAGTTTGTGTGTGAAAGCTAGTAAGACCCATTAGTAGATTATCTGGCTTAATATGGCTGTCATGCATAACTCAGACAGCTGAATGGTCTGATACTTCCTTTTGAATTCAATTGTCCTATGAGCTACTTTGTTTTGAAGAATTGACTGTATTCAGAAAACGGGTGACGATTTGCGCAGGTTTGTTCTCTGTCTTCCGTCACGCATATCACTATTCACTCTGGTTTCTCGCTTCACACACAAACCAATAAGGTTGAAATTTATGAATAATTCCCGGTTGTTTACTCGATGATAACGCACGCATACACAACAAAATATCGACCAAGGTACTTCGGTACAAACAAATGAATACACTTATTCCAAATATGATCCAAATATCTATATGCGACTTGTCTTCACTCCACGAAAGCCGATAAGCTAGTCTGATTGATTTTTGCGCCACAATAAAGTTCTCCTCTAGTTGACATATGTATGCTTAAGGTAAAACGAATTTTCGACAGAAGTTTCGAAGACTGTGGTTCCTGTAATGGTACTAGAAGTAGTCTCATATCGGCAACATAGTGCACTGACTGAATGTGCATTCCGTTGGTATGGCACGCCAATACATCATCTGATGTTTGCTCTCATTTTATAATCGATTCAAGCAAAAGTACCGAACCAAACGAAATGCGAGTTCAGCAGAAGGACATTCATTCAAACAAATCTGCTGGAGGATTCTTATTCAGTTTAGCTGACACTGAATAAAATGAGATGGGAGTGAGGACAAATAATAAAGTCTGTTAAGAAGTGAAATTTTAGTAAATGTTTTGATCGTTTATGAAAAGCGGCAAAAAGTGAACTTTTTATGTTTGGAGTATTGATACACAAAAATTCCATAAAACCGTAGGATTGCGCACCAGCGGTAAACGGTAGAAAGAGGACGAAACGCCTGTACTGCGTTCCTTGAGGTAAACATAACAAAGTAGGATGAGAGGTAAGAATTAACTGGTGGGAAGGAGCCAACATTTTAGCTGCAACCAACAACGATAAATATTCAGACTCCTTGGAATAATATTTTTGATGGATCTTTTCAATGACAACTAAACGAGGGAATCTTATTGGAATGTCCGTAGAACATTTTTGAAATTCCACATTTTTGTTCACTACCCTCACTGGTGTCACGCAACTGAATAAACTCAATTTTCCATCGTCTTTGTTACTAGGGGCGTGCTGCTAGAATTTGTCTCCTAACTGGCCTATTATACCAATCAAGACGGAAATAAGTAATATGATAGGCTATTCAATTTGCCCGTCATTCTTCCATTCCCCATGCAACCCTCTTGTATAAAAAGCAAGTAATGAGGCTTGCTGTCTTTTAAAAATGCATTTCTATGCTTTTAAATCCTACTGTGACTACAACGCAAGCTATTTCGCAGTATTATTTAATACAATCATCATGCTGAAGTTAGACAAAGTAGAATTATTCAGTGTAGTTTACGTCCAAAAACTTGAAATTATGATTGGGTACAAATTATTACTTTTCCTACTTCGATTTTTTCACGTGTATCAGACGCCACATTTTGACTGAACCGGCAGGCATCCGTTTTTGAAGAGCTAGACAGAACACATCTACAAGGAATTGAAACGATCTGCAGCACAACCGGATATATTCGCTCTGCTTTATCCAGCCCGTGTGATCCTCAATCCAGCGTTTGTGTATCCGTTCCTAAAAAAGAATACGTGTGCGATGTCTATAAAGACCTTTCTTCCCAATAAACCTTCAGGTAGAATTACAACTCACATGTGCTTCGTTTTTTTCATCTTAGATTTCATCCTCAGCAGTGAGGCATGCGAACCATCTAGACAGAAGCAAACTCACAAGGCACAAGTAAAGCAATTTCTCCCCACTGGAAGTCTCCTAGGAATTAGAATGCCATTTCTGTAGAGCAAATTTCGATGGACGTTCAAAAATAAGTCTCCTTTAAGACAGCTTGTTAGAAACGGTTTCAAATGCTATGAGAAAGACTCAAGGAGAAATACGGTGAATCTCCAAAGATTCGAAGAATAAAATGACAGACAATGATCAGTGTTTGATTCCCACTCCTCTTAATTTAAAGAAGAGAACAATTTACTTATTTGTGTCACCTCTCACCCATAACACATATTAATATGTGGCACGCACCGGGTTGAAGGCTAAACACGAATGTCACTCCACTCACCTTTTGCAGTTTGGAAAACCCTCCGATGAAAGCATGTACCTGAAGCCACACGCCATTCCCTTGAATTCAGCTAACAGTTTTTTTCAAGAAAATACGCCACACTTGCTGGTCACTGGCCATGTCTCGCAATGCGGTGGCAAAACGTTTACAAGTTGATTACCGGGCTCCGTAAAAACTAATCAGCCGCTGGAAACTTACCCTCAGCTACCGACACAGCAGCTACCGACAGCTACCGACACAGCTAACGACACAGCTACCCACAGCAAATCCATGTGGAAGCATACTGCTGGTTATTGGTTTCCCTAAGCATAATTAAGTTCTACTGAGCACAACTTTAAAGGTAGAAAAGCATGGAAAGTTACTATAGTAACTGTCTTCAGTGTAGTATTCTTTGCCAATCGCTGAGTGTCCTGAAAATCAGCGGGATCAAAGTACTCAGACGAAGTAATGATGTAGGCTGTTGAAAATGTCAGTTCCACTCCAATATGCAGTCATGCATGTCCTCAGCTAATCGCTGTTCTTAATCTGTCCCTAGTCTCAGCTTCGCATAGAATTTCCCATTTATTTATCATGTTTTTTTCAAGGTTATAAACTATCCCAGCTTTTAGGAAATTAGGGTTATCATTTCCAGTTGGTTTACACCTGCGAAAAATCAGGTGACGTGATGATGTGCTGTGGAGAAAGGCCCTCACCTAAAGCCTGTCGATTGAAGCCCCAAGGGATGATTCCAGAAATGATGGCTTCGATTTGGGTAACTTGGAGAACTGTTCAACCTGCTATCTGTAAGAAGACACCAAGAAATCGGGGCGAACATAAAGTGGGGGCTGTCCACTGTAGAGTTAAATATACAAAATAAATAAAAGCAAACGTTTCTTCTAACGCATCCTTGAGGTAGCAGAATGGCGGCTGTTCGCTCAAATTGCAGGAGGTTACGTCAGGTCAGGCTTGAATGCGCGATTTCAACATGAACAAATGACACCGTATGAACACAAAATACTGGTGTTTGCACTACGTAACTCTACCAACTTAGTTCGAGTTCTATGAAACGTTCCATGCATTACCGGTACGTCACACGGTAGTTTTTTGCCGCAGACAGATTACTGAGCACCCGAATGCCTCCATATTCTGAGTCCGCTAGTACTGTTAACTCCATAAGTCATGCACAACCAATCTCTTCTGCATAGAACTTTGGTTTGCCGTTATTCATTCAGACTTCTGCAAGTGCGCTGCAAGTGAAAATCATAACTATCAAGTGCGATTTCTAAATCAAAGTTTCTTGCGTTCAAACACGAACCGGCTATGCACCAAACAGATAGGCACTACTTGACAAAAAACTACTCAAGGGACACTGAAAAATGACAAAATCTTAAGTAGTTTTATCGGTTCATAATCTCTAGTTAGGGGTCAAAATTATCCTAAATTAAGAAAATAAAATAGTTTGCAAATATAGTTTGTTTTAACAGGAGACACAACTGGGTCCCAGCCGAATATATTGGTTGTGGTATGCTCCATCTAAATGTTCGGCACAAATGCCTCATGTTCTGGTTTGAATAACATTCGAAATGTCATAGCACATCGTCTAAACAGAACGCACTGATCATAAGGTTGCTGGAAGCATTTCACCAACCCATAGCCGCTTTTGCCTTCTTGGGGTTTATCGGATAGCTGTAGTCTGGGAGTTTCCGTTAACTTTATGTTCCTCCTAAACCCAGACTGAACGGCGTTCACGACACATTCATCTGTAAACTAAGTTAGCCCTAACCTCTGAATTCTGCGTTGACGAGTACTGGAGAAGTTTGCCTACCTGATGAACCCCAATTTTGAGACCAGCTGTACGCTGTGGAAGAGGTTTCTGCAATTTTATGAGTAACTTCTCTCGTTAGGCTGATAATATATTGTGCCCATGCGATGTAAGCACCACTGAAGCCTCAATCAAAATATCCAGTGTGTCTCACGCTGAAAAAATCAATGACTCACATAACTAGGATTCCATCACACTCCGGTAAACCACTGTTAAATAAATATGAA